AGCGGATCTCGCGCTCGATAGCTTGCCATATTGAAGTGCCGTGAAAAGCTGGAATGTTCGAGTTACACTACATCGCTGAGCCGCGCACGGCGACTGCCCCCCCCCCGAGCCACATTGCGCCGATTCGCGTGAGCCACAGTGGGTGAATGGCATTGATCGAAAATTAGAAAGTCTCCACTTTTCCTTCCCACCTTTTTTATTACTCCACGAATCCATAGGACCGCATACAAAACGTAGGGGAATGTGCAAAAAACAACCCGCTGAGGCCCTTTATATATTGAAACAGTACGACATGACATAATGCTTTTCCATACTTAGTAGTAAACGTAGTGTGAAGGAGTACTTGCTTTAAAAAGGAAGGAGAAGCCACAAAACGAAGAGCAACCATCCACAGGCCGGAAACCGTGCCCGAACACAAACACCGCCACAGCGTCAATCAAGCACCAATTGGCCCTGGGCCGGTTCTGGCGCCATTTGTACGTCAAGTTTTGTTCGAAGTTAAGCTTGCCTTGATATGATATGATTGCTTGTTGTTTCTTTGAAAGTTCCTAGTGTTGCAGTTCTAAGGTCCAGCTAGCGCCTGGGCACGACTCAGTCGTAGTTGACCTATTGCTTCAACTGTTCGCACTTATCCCCTAGACCTGATTGATCGGTGCAAATGTGTTTTCAATTAGTGACTTTTTTGAGTGGATCTATCAAAGAAAGTCCTATCAGAACCTAATTCGGCCGCAATATTCTGCTCATCCATTCAAAGTGGGGGATGCATTCTGAATATTGATGACTCATCGTTCAATAACCAAGCGACGTCCTTACAATTGTCAAACTCGATAAGCCTGAGTTCCTTTTCTCATTTTAATAACAATTTTTCAGGGGTTGTGTGAGAAATGGACGGTGGAGAAGCCTCCGCTGGAGGAACGGCTCCAATTGAGGTTCGTGTCAAAATTATTCGAAGCATTGATGTCTGAGAAAAAAGTGAAGGGAAAGGAGTAGCTGAATAGACAGAAGAGAATGTCAGACGGGGAGCATGTATAAATAGAGGGCTTTTCTATACAGAAGACTGGACAGGGGCTTTACTAGGTTGATTAGCCCTTCAACTGGCAGCGAATTTTGTGAATCCCCAAGGAAAAGGAAGAGTTCCATTAGCCACATGTTCTCAGTTCTGGAACTTTTAACTTGCAAACAGAAGAACAAGTTGCGACTATCATATCATTGTTATCATAGGGTTTATCACTGAGTATAAAAGGTGTGGGTGCAAGTTGGTATTATTTTCCAACTTTACTAGAGCGCTTACGAATTGAAATCTGTGTGGGCTGGTTGAGTGGTTGATTGTTAATCAATCAATGTCAGAAATTGTCCAATAATGCCGGTCAGATTTTTGCTTTCTTTGTTCTTTCAACAGGCTTGATTTGAATTCTGAAAGAAAACAAGCCTTTCAGAATAATAGGAAAATTTCGTCGAAACCAGGCGTTTAGAGCGAATCAATTGGTCAGGCAGCATAAATTGACCGCTCACGTGCGCAGCAACCAAAAACCGAAAGTATTGCACTTTCATGATAATCCGTCGTGCTGGGAAACTACCTACCATTGCGATAGGCTAAGTTCCCTTCGGTCCATAGATTCACGCAAGTATATGTTTTGAGATTTTGAGAACCTGCCTTAAAGGGCGCCGGGCCCTTGTTTTCTTTTTTTC